AAAAAAAAAAAAAAAAAAAAAAAAAAATAAAAAAAAAGGGTTTTTGTTTTTTTAAAAAAAAAAAAAAAAAAAAAAAAAAAAAAAAAAAAATAAAAAAAAAGGGTTTTTGTTTTTTTAAAAAAAAAAAAAAAAAAAAAAAAAAAAAAAAAAAAAGAGTTCCATTTTAGTAAAGGAAGCAATGGTAAAGTGACTAACTTTAGCAAAAACCAGAGAATATATTTAACTTCCAATCTCACACCATTGCAAACAATGGAACCACATCAGTTCATTCCGACGCACCCACAAAGTGACACATCAGTTAAACAAAGCATCTTAAAGGTCACAAATTAAAATCGCTTATTCCATTTTTTTTTTTATTATTATTAAAATTGCACATTGAGTAAGTTGGTAGGCCAAGGAAGAAAACTACCTAAAAGACGGACATATGAAAATGTCTGATGGGAAGTGTGTAACACTGCGGTGGCGTCTCATGGGGGCGATGAGCCAGCACTCTCAGGTGGTCCTCATTCCTCTTAGCCTCTCAAGGAATTTGCAGGGAAGTAGAGGAGGCAGAAGAGGACAGGAAAGTAAATTAGCAACCATATGTGTGCGTGCGTGTGTGTGTGTGTATGTGTGTGTGTGTGTTTGTGGGCGGGGTGGAGGGTGAGTAGACATCTGGGCCGGCCTCAAAAGCCTGATGGTGTTAAAACATTCATATCCCGAGGTTTCAGTTTGTGGGGCCGTGGAGAAACCCGCTTAGACTCAGTGTCCGAGATTTCAATCTTGGGGGGCATGAATTTGGCGGGCTCCTCCACTTTTTGGCTGATCTGTGTGTTGGTGCCATCCATCGTAGAGGACTTCTGCAGGCCGAAGTAGGACTGCAGGGAGAAGCCTGGGAGGATGTGGTAGATTTTGATTAATAAACAGACCATTCAAGTTTAAAAGAAAGAGCTAAAGAGATATTTTTATTTAAATACTTGTTGTAGCTGGAAACAAGCAATTTAATGTCAGTTTTTTAATTAAACGTTTATTACATACAACACAGGTTCTGTTTTAATTTAGCTTGCCAATTCATAATTTCTTTATTCCTTGTAACTCGTTACCATTGTGGGCCTTCCTGATTCCACATGCAACAGTAAACAATCCATTTTATGCCCATTTACTGAAATCATTCGCACCCACAAATGCAGATGTCAATTGGGTAAACAGTTGGCAGATGAACTTTAGATTTTAATATCAGCAACAGACATTATAACAAGGTATAATTAAGAACAATGATTATATAAACCGTTAGATTTAAATGAATAAGAACAATGAAAAGCAATTCAAATATTTCTTCCATGAACATGTGATACAAAAATACAAATTGTGGTGTCTTATTTAATTTCCAACTCTCACGCGGTCTTAAGAGACGGGTCCATTGAACCCTGCGAGCTTTTTACCCCGTGCATGTGCTTTTACAAGGTTTTTACTTTTGCATGGTTTTGGGAACTGCCAGTCTGACCGGACCGTGACATCTGCCGCGCTCCTCCTGAGCTTCATACCGAGACCACTGGAGGACTAAAACTTTACAATAAAGTAAATCATGCTGTGTTTCTCAAAAAAAAAAAAAAGCGAGCAAAGAGGAAAAAAAGCAATTTACAGAACCCTGCATCAACGCAGTAAATTATAAGCATATAACACTCAATTACTCTAAAGTATTGTTGTCACAGTGGAAACAAAACACTTCCATGGTTGGTAAAAAAAAAAAAATTACAATATCCACTTTCATACCTGGAGAAGTTGTGTATGAAAAGACTAAAAACTGCAAAAGCACAAATGGGAGAAGAGTCGAAATAACCAGCACCAGTTGTAATATTATAGGTTTAAGTTTTTTCAGGTGCTAAACCCCACCCACCAGAGTCTGAGGGTTTGTATAACATCACTCACTGTGTACAAATGAAGTATGTCTCATGAGGATTACATGAGGAAAAATCTGGCTTCACAGCTGCAGGTTGTGTCATTACTATAATTAAGTCATGATATCTCACGAGCTAGCATCACAGTTAGAGCAACATTGTTCCCATCCACGATGTAGGACAGTACATTTAAAGCTCCCACCTGTGCTGGTTTCAGAGCCTGGGTCCGTGGGGGACTTGTGGACCACAGACCGGGTTCCAAAGAAGTTCCACTTATCCAGACCTCCTCCTCCTCCTCCTTCGTTTCCTCCCATGTCTATGTTGGGGTCGGGTCTAATAGGCTCAGGTGCGGTAATATATTGGGTCGGACTCAGCTGGAACCAGTTCCTGGAATCCCCACAAACAAAAAGTTAAATTTAAAAAAAAAAAAAAAAAACAGCCAAACAACACAGGCGCCATATTCAAAGTTTTATATATATATATATATATATATATATACTGTTTTAAATATTCAGGTTCAATCAGTCATGTATATTTGTGAAAATAAGCTAAATGTTTCACAGACAAACCTGCGATTAACAGCTGGCGATGAGAGAGGGGTAACACTGGGGGTAACAGAGGGGGTGACTGAAGGCGTGCCGCTTGGGGTCGATTGTGCAGATGTTGAAAGCCTGTCCTCCTTGAAGTCCCCCGGCATTCTCAACTTCTACTCAGGAGAGAAGAAAAAAAGAAAAAAGAAAAAAAAAAACACTACTCAATTAAACCTGCTGGTCTCTCAACAAACTTATGAATGTGAAAGTTATACATCTTTTAACAAGTTCAAATCAAGGGTGTCAACAAGTTCGATGGAGGCACAACACTGATCCTATTTAGAAAGCAAACATCACTGAGTACACAAAGCAAAAGGGCAGAGGTGGTTTAACTGGGCATTCAGGTCAAAACTAATGATAACGTGCGTCATAGTTCACTTGCTGTGGCGTCAGGCCTGGAGTTAAAGGGGACATGACTGACATGAAAAGGAAAACAATAAACCACTGGAAAAAATTCAAACACATAGAGATAAAAAAATATATATATGTAGCAGGTACTTTGATCAAGGTAATTATTTTGAATCCAATAGAAAATATTGGAAAAAAAAGATTGCACTCAAAGTTACTTTAAATAATCATTGATTATTCAAAGCAACTGTACATTGCATTTATCTGATTTTTAATCAACTCATATTTAGGCCTGTCGCAATTATAAATGAGTCAATTAAATGCATGATGAATTAAACAAGCTTAATAATTTCCAACAATTTTGCCTACAGAACCATGTGTAGCGATTACTGTCACGTGTCCATCCACCCAAATGGCACCATGACCAGCCCTCCTGGTCAGTTTTGCTTTCAGAACAGCTATGTTAAAAAACAACTTACATCAGCTGATACCAGTGTTAAAGCAGATCATGGTGCATCCATGGTTAGCGCCACGCTGAACTTCAAAACAACTGGAATCCTCTCAATATTTGACTCAGTAATATCTGGCAACCATAAATGTCAATATTTATAGGTAGAATTTATTTTTTATTTATTTATTTTTCCACTGAATACACGGCTTATCCAAGATGCCAACGTCAGGATTCATCGGGGTGAAATTGTGAAAAAGTGGGGAGCATGAAAGTCATTCTCACCCAGAGACTGGCCACCACAGAGTCAGGACCGTATCCCCATTGAGATTTTTAGAGATGTACTGCAGGCTTTATGCAGGCTTTAGACTTTCCTCATCATCAAAACAAGATCTTGGGGTCAATGTAATGGAAAATTTTATAATGTGCACTTCACCCCTTTTGTGCTCTTGATGGTGTCTGATGATGCGATCATGTGTCTGCAAGAACTTATGAGATTGATCAAGTTGCTCTCCTATAGACTTCTACAGTGCCTTAAGACAGCAGGGGATGTCCTTGATCCTGGAGACCATCTAGTGTTTCCCCAAACAAGGACTTATCTGCTCCCTTTAGCATTAAAGAACAACAGCCTTTCCTCAACAATAGACAAATGGCAGTGTATAAATGCTTATATTATTAAATTTATGACATCTAATTTTAGTTACACATGTTAATAAACGTGTTTTGTGTTAGGAAGGTTGCGTTTTCAATTTCCATATGACTTAAACAAACAAGCACAGTTACATTCCTTTATTTTAACCCAATAACATAACATGATTTCGACCTTCATACGTTTTCTCCTAAATAACATGTTATATATATATATATATATATATATATATATATATACATATATATATGCTTATGTAAACTAAAACATCAAGTTTACATAAACAATAAAAGGAGCACAATTGATCTCCAGAAAACATTTGAAGGGTAAACGTGAAGCAGAAGCTAAACTAACCTTATACGTCTTATTTTTTTAACATTATCAATTGGTGACTAGCCTGCGTTGTAAATTTAGGGTTTTGATGATGGTAATTGATTTCAAAGCGTTTCTAAAACATTTGGCCCACAGTCAGGTCGTAGTATGATAACTGCTTGTAGGCGATCACATGAGCAATCGACGGACGGTTAGCTATTATTACAAAACTATGATTACTTAACCAACAAATATTCGTCTTTAATTAGTCAATCTCGTCCATGTGATTTGTTGTGGCATAACAAAATTAATCAGAGAAACGTCTGGATACAATAGTCTGTTTTTATCACGTTAGCTCTAGCACTAGCACTGCTACGTAGCTCACCAGTTTGCTATGCTAATGGCCTCCTTTTGTAAAAATGTAGAATTCTAGAAATAAAGTAAAGCTAAACCAGGACCGACCTTTTTATGATGAGTTTTCTTTGACGCCGCAGCTCGATAGCTCTCTTCATTTTGTCCATAATTGCTCGTTTCGGTGTAGGATTATTTCTTAAAAACACGACGATGGCAGTGTTACACACCGAAAGCGGCCTTGTTTTGGGAGGAGCGCGATGATTGGCTCGTTTCGCTGAAAGAGGAGGCCTCGCCTCATATGAAGGGTGTCACCTAGCAACAGCTCTGATAAAGCAAAGAACTCGTTGCGTAATTTGTTTATCAAGATGTTGTTCGCTGTTTTCTTCACTTTCACAACATCATGGTACTTTTTGCTGAACATTTCATCTATAATTTCACAATAAAAGCATGTTTTTGAAGAACCTATGCATCAGTGCTGTTACAGAGAAGGGAGAATCGGTCTGTGTCACATGTTGTAGCAACAACTACAACATTAAGGAACAATGTGGATCTGGAACAAATTTGACAGCTGGTAAGAAGGAATCTAGCAGTTAAAATTAGACCTGTAAACAGAACAATTCTGTCCAGAAAATCAACCACACAATAACAGGCACTCTGTGAATGTCAACTGTCATCACTCAATTTTTTATGGATCTCCCAATACTCCAAAAATTAAAGGTCAAAGCTTAGTAAAACATTTTATTTTCCATTGTTCTTAGCTACATTGTACTCGACTATCACCAATTTTTGAATGTTGAATAAATAACATGTTTCCAAATGAAATGTCTTATATAGGTTATCAATTTATACTCACCATGCTGCATTCAACAGTGAGAGGTCCATTATTTTCATGCTACACCAATAAATATAATTGTATTTTAATGGGGACTGATACACCAACACAAAATTAAATAAAATCTACACTTGATTTGCCTATGCCATCCCTATTAAGACACTTTACTGTCCCTATATGCATGGACAATTCTAGACACTAACACAGTTTTACATTAACAATTAATTAATTGGGGTGCTGCACTTTCAACTTCAGGGATCCACAATTGGCTTTTTTGTTTGTTTTGTGACAACCACATGAAAAAGCACTGACACTCCACATCCACCACCTGCTAAATATGCCCTAGAACTGCCACTGCCTGTAGGGAAATTTGTCTCAGACTCTGGAGGTGTAACAATAATTGCCTTGGCAATGTGGCACAACACAACATAATTTCATTTGATGATGCTGCCACCACCATGTCCTACCATAGCGGTTGTGTACATGTAAGCGTACCAGACTTCATAAATTGTATTTTTCAAAGAAATTGAAAACGTTATAGCCTCATCTTTTCACTTCACATTTATGCTTCAGTTCAGGGGTGCCGAAGTCCTCAAGAGCTACGATCGTTCAGCCATTGGATGTTTACCCACCCCAGCACACCTAAATCAGATGACTGGCTTCTTTCTGGGAAAATAAGCCAGTCGTCTATTGGGCTGCGTCATTAGCAGCTCAATAGATGCCTGCTAATGAGTCCTTTCATTTGATTCAGGGGTTTTAGCCAAGGCACACATTTGCAAGATAATAGCCCTCGTGGACTGGACTAGGCCGCTCTGTCCTGTTCTAATTGGTGTTGTTCTATTAGGTAAAATATGAATGAAAAACATTGAAACGTATTGTAATTAATATATATATATATCAAAAACTCAAGAGTTATGCATATATTTGAAGAATTAATGAGTCAGGCCTGGACTTGCAGTAAATTAAGGAAATGCAATATCTTATTATTTTACAGAAGTTTTGACACTCTTTCCATAAAAGTATGTGCAATAATGCTACTGTATTGAAATAGTTTTTGCTTTTTCAGATTGTTGTGGTGCTTAGGGATAAATACCGCTGCCCACATTTGTTCAAACTTACTGGCAGTTTGCCATCAGATACTCTGTGGAACTGGGTCTCCTCGGCAGTGAGGCCCTTGTGGGGGGAATAAACAGCCTCAGTCAGTCCTGCCTGGTGCTCAAACTTCTGTAGGTTTTCTTGGGATTGTCCTGTGTTGCAAATGGAAACCCGGAGAAAGAGTCAGATAGATACGTATTATCTTCTGTTGCTTCACAGATACTGTTAAGACGGCTTAGAAATTTCAGTAATATTCAAAGAAAAGCATGTATTTGGAAACAGAAACAACAAATAATTTTTAAATGCCTTCAGTTGACTTACTTGACATAAGGGAACTCATCAGTGTGGTGGCTTTGGCCTTTACAACAGGCCCTGGGGACTTGGGTGATGCTTCACATGTTGTTATTTTGTCACCATTCTTGCTTACCTATTATCACAGGTTTATAGTTTAAGGAAGAAATTAGAAACTAATTCCTGTCTAGTGAGCAAGAACATTCAAATACGCATAACCAGTTTGACATGAGTTCAAGCAAAGATCATTAAGTGCCCAGTTGAAAACTACAAAGGGTTAAAAAGTAAAAACCAACAAGGAAGCACCTCTTTATTCCTGAACCTGTGCCGAGGGATGACGGGGTCTTTCCAGAAGTTTTTTACTGTCATGTCTACAGGGGGGTGATGCATGGGGATATCCATGTGCTCATCGTAGCTGATGTTGTGGCGAGCTATGCCAGCAGGAGATGATAAGGCAACACAGAGGCCAGACATGCCAGACTCAAGTGCTGAAAAATGGCAGCAAACAAGACAAAGCTCAGCATAAATAAACACAAAGTCAAGTCTATGTTAAAGTTAATGTGTCGTTTCTAAATACCTGGGATGTCTCCCTGGCCTGTGGCCATTTTGACGCCGGAACAGGCGGTCTTACCACAAAAGACAGAAGGCTGGCTCTCTGCTCAGTGGGACACACCTGCAAACACACAATGTCGCACAGGGTTGAATGGTTGTGCAACAACTAGTTCTGGGTGATCTTGTTATGGCGTACTGATGTGGGTGTAATAATCTTAAGTGGCATGTGTATTACAAAATAAGTCAAAAGCTATTTCTCTTCTTTAAGCAAACTGAGTAGTATTTGATCAGCTCTAGTTCAAACTCTAAGTCTGGGACCTCACTGCAGGACTTTCACAATCTTGGCAAATTTTGAATAGACTGGGTGTTGACACTACCAGACTGGTTTTTGTTTTACGACTGAAACACACTTAACAATTTCGCTTGCTGCTGAATCACAGATTATTGGATTTTTCCAAACCAACTAAAGCCCATAAAACATGTGGAAACTCTCTGGACGGCAACTCTTTAAAGTTGAAACAAACTGTAGCAGTTACAGGAGCTATTGTCAGCAATTTGACAAGATTTACCTGCATGACATGTCGGCTTAAAATGACAAACTATTTAGAATATGTTAAGTGAATATGATTTGGATGCTGCTGATTTCATTCTTTGTTATACTATTGTCATAAAATCAAGAAAATCTCTGAAAATCCGGAGCATTTTGTTCAAAAAGACTGTTATGTAACAACAGAGCTTCATGAGTTAGAGGCTTCTTCAAAAATACCGATGTAATACTGACTGCTACAGGAGATCCTTCCTGTAGCAGCCAGGAAGCTATTAGCATTTATAGCAATTCTTTAAAGAAAATTCAGTTTTGAGTTACAATTATGTTTAATTTCCCTCTGGGATTGATTAAATATTTTTGAATTGAACTGAATTGAATTAGATGTACTGTTGCAAATAAAGTATTTTAAAAAGTTGGTTCCCCTCGCTCTCATTGTGTCGCAGCCTCTCTTTTAGACATAAAGTTAGGAAAGGAGACAAAATGATTGATAGTCAATGAGGAATAAGTAGTTCTCTCTTGAATGAACACAGAGCAAAGCTTGTCTTGTCGGACCTGCTTTAAATAGAATTGCAGAATCTGGTTACTGTACAGCAGTGACATTAATATGAATTTCAGTCGGAGTCACTCTCTTGTATCAGCCTCCCTCAGCTTTCTGCAGAGCCAAAGTGGATGTGCGCAAGCAGACTGTTGTCTAATGTGGACACATTCTTTTTACACATTTAACAGTAAAAGCACACTTTGATCTTGAGGAAAATCCCAGCCTGTCATGTAAATTTTCCAGTTTTAACCACGCAAGTTAATTTTAGTTAGATAAATAATAAACACTCAGAACTGTAATGTATAATGGCACATTGAATGACTTATCTCATGAGCAAAGGAGCAGCCAATGCACACATAAAAAATATAAATTATGAATATGAACTATGAATAATATATCTTTGGCATGAATTCTGATCTGTTCTATGATGAACTGACTACGAGTCCCTTGGATTTAGACTAAAATCCATTTCTTTCTCAGATATGGCAAAAATATCCTACGCAACCTGCAGACGTCTTCAGAGTTAGTTAATCTGATTTGCTATCAGTGGTACCCTGTTTTATTATTCTGCTGCTGCCCAGACAGCTGACTTGTTCACGTCATAAATAAAGGAAGCCACTTACAGTGACTTGCAAAAAAAAAAAAAAAAAAAAAAAAAAAAAAAAAGGTTTTTTTTTTTTTTTTTTTTTTTTTTTTTTTTTTTTT